GCAAGGCTGCCGAGAAGGCCGACTACCCTACCCTGAAGCGTACGGCCGCTGCTACCCTCGAGAAACTCAAAAAAGCTCAGTTGGCGAAGCGTAGAGAGGCTCGAGTCCGCAAATCGGCGGAGCAGGCCGCAGAAGAGGAGCGACAACTGTTGGCGCGAGAGCGAGTCCTGCGCGCCGATCTGAAGAAGGAGCTTGGGGAGGAGCAGCGACGTAGAATCGAGGCGGAGCAACGGGCGCAAGCAGCGATCGCACGCGAGCAGGCCTCGGAGCATCAGAGGCAGCAGCAGAGGGCTGCTGATGGAGAGGCGGTGGCGATCGTCCTGACCCAGCTGGGAAACTTGCGGTTGGAGAAAAAAATGCTTCAAGATCAACAGCGCGAGATGGTTGAGATTTTTTGTCCACAAGCGGCAAGCGTGATGGCGGTGCAGCAACAGCAGCACGACCGGAATCCGCTGCTTTCCGCGAAAGACTAGCTCATCCGCACCCGGATGGAGGTAGAGCAAGCGAGGAGGGAGCTGGAGGCGGCGTCGGCGTGGGGAAAGGTTGCCGAGACGAGAAATGCTAATTTGAAGAAAAAGGTGCGTGCGTGCGTGTGTGTGTGTCTTTGCCCTCGTGTGTTTTTGGCTTTGCTGTTCCCTTCTAGTGCGACTACTTCGTATGCCTCCGAGTCCTACAGGTTGATAGAACCAACGTAAGCAGGACGATACCAAGAGAGGCAGGCGAAGCTGCATGCAGCTGCTATCATCGACAGACTTGGTGTTGAGAGCGAGAAAATACAGCAGGAGCAGCAGCAGCGCGCATTTTTTTTGTTTTCCCGCTCTTACAACCGCCCTGCTGTTTGCCCGTTGCCCTTTTTCTTTTTTTCGGCAACAGAACGGGCGGGTCCGCCGTCGAAGCGGGCGGGTTCGCCGTCGAACCGGTGGGGTCCGCCATCTATGACCGGTCGGGCTGTGGGGTACTGGCTTTTTGTGTGTGCCAGCAGCCTCAGTGAGCGCAGTGACGGGTGTCCACCTCGCGCATTGCTGCGTGAACGCGCTTGACCATATTTGTCCAGTCCGTTCGTGTGTGTTCGTGTGTCTTTTTATTTTGATTCAAATTCCGAACGTTTTTATTGGTCTAAGAAGGAAAAGCGCAGTCTATTTGCCACGAAAAGTTCACCCGGTTTGGGACACATTTTTGGCCTCAAAATAGGGGTAGCCCCAGGGTCTAACTGTTCGACTGGCAATATTCCGGGACCACTGCTTTACCACACGGGAATCGGCCCCGTGAAGTGCCAGACTGGTACGACAGAAGAAGGTACTGGACAGAGAGAACGGACCGGTTTGTAATGTGAAGACAACAACAAAAACAACAACAACAACAACAACAACAACAACAACAACTGCTGTACCCGAAAGTGACCCCTCATCCCCCGGTAACATTTTTCTGCAGGCTGAGACCCCTTTGCGGTCCGAGTGGCTCCGGCTCGTGAGCAAGACGCTGACGAACGGCCTTGTGTACACCGCCATCGTCTTGCAGGCCCTCGGCGCCGAGGTACGGATTGTTTTTTTTCGAAACGGCAGCAGTTTCCCCGATTTTTTTTCCCACAGAGATGTTTGTCTGCTTAGGCGGGTGCTCTCAATGTGCGGGTGAGACTCACGGCGTCGGGGTGGGAATGTTTTCATCGTCTTCACTCCGTTTATTGGGGACGGTTGGTGCACAAATGCACGCTCTTCACATTATTTCACGTGAAAGATTTTGGTAGGTTTACGCTGGAATTTCCTGGCTGCGTGTAGGCTTGGCCTTGGGAAATGGTGGGCATCGCAAATGCTGGTCTTAAAAACCAAATCCCTCCTTCGGCTGACAGTTGAAGTGCGACTGGTACTGAAAAAGGGTAGCCCCCCCCCCCCCCCGCGAACACACAGAGCGGACGCAGAAAATCGTACGTCACTTGGTCTCAAAAAGTGGTCCGTGCTGAATGGACTACGGGCAGCCACAGGCGGGGGCGCAAACCCCGCCCCAGCCCGAATTAGTTTAACTTTAGCATCCTTTCCGAGCGGTTGTGATGTGTCGCTCTCCTCCATCCTTGACGGCCACTTGCTGCTCCCCCCTTACCCCCTTGCCACTCGTAGCTCCCGGCGGATAAGAAGAAAAAGAGTGGCAAGGGGAAAGGCAAGGGCAAGGGTAAGAAGGCAACCGAACCTGCCGCCGGGGATGAAAGCGGCGCGCGGCTACGGCTGCAAGAGGCGCTGTCGGGGCTGGGCTGGGAGGTGTCCGAGCTTCTCCGAGCAATGTCGACGGCTCTGAAGGTAATGGTTTGGGTACTTCCAGGTTGTGGAATGGTGCCGTGGTTTTATGCGTGCTTTTTTTGTTGTGTATTTGATTCTATGAGGTGTTACATACCCCTGCAATTGGAGTATTCCCTTAACGGTGTATAATTATAGCCTTTCCGCGACTTTCCGCATGTTTTGTTTTTGTGTTTGGCTCAGTTGCCGTTGTTGTTATTGTTGCGATCCCTTAGCTGTCCCAGAGTGATGCCAATCTGCGCGCGATGTAAGTTTGACTCATACACGCGGATATCTTCCTTGCCGTGTTGTTGTGCATTCCCCTAATCCCTCAGCTCGGTCTCGAGTGACGTCAATTTACGCGCGAAGTGGGTTCGACTCCTACATTCGGCTAACCTCACTGCTGTGTTGTTTCATTGCATGTCGTGCTGGAGTTCAAACAAGTTCATCAGGCCAACACCTCCTTGGCTTCGTTCTTTTGTTCACAGTCTGAGGTGTCGGCGAAGGGAGATCCCGCCCGTCCTGGCGAGACTCTGACAAAGCTGCTAAAGGGGGGGCTGGGTGCGGGGTACGAGCCCGCAATAGGCATGCTGTGGGAATCGGACGGTGGTGAGCTTGTGTGTTGAACCAACCCAAACGAGCATAATAATAGTATCCATGTCATGTAGCGATCACGTTCATACAACGCTTATGCAACGCTCATGAACTACGTTGCGTTTCTGGCTTTGCTGCAATTGTTTCAAGTGGCGATGGACTTCCATTGCCGAATGCTTTCGTGAGTCGTTTTTGGAAGCATTTTTTTGTTTGTGTTCGATTCGTTTTGCGTGTTTTCGCTCGATGACGTACTCTGCGTCGCGTCCTGCCAAAAGATCGTTGTCCTACGTCGCTTCAGCGCTTCGTTATCATGCCCTTGGAAGCTCTGGTGCACAACTCGCTGCTGGATGCAACCCAAACCTTGCTGCTTTCTCTCTGACCGCTGTCTCCCCCTTTTGCGAAGACGATCGCGCCGCTCGTGCATCGCGTATGTATATCACTGATGTTGTTGGGGCCGTGACTCAACCCTTGCCGCGGTAATACTTGTTTGTCGTTGCCGTCATTTCTTTTTTGTTGCAAGCAGTGCGATGGTGCAAGGAAAGTGTCGTCCCGGGGGCCGTGCTCGGTGTCACGGGTAGCCAGGCGATTTGCTGCCAGCGCTTGCTGTCGGTCGTGACGGAGAATCTAGCCATGCTGCAGCGTTGGGAAAAGAAAGGGGGATGATAGTTCCCCCTGTCACTCGTTGCAATAGGGAGCTAGCTACACGTATTGTTGTAGGGCGAAGTCGATGCTCTAGGGAGCTATTTTAGCTACAAATGATGTTCTGGGGCGAAGTGTTGCATGGTTGGAGTTTGGTGTCACCTACAACGGGTGACATCACCCCCTTCCCCGTCTGGAGTCCATGATCCAGTTGAAGAGCGCTCCTAAGGCATGGTTGACCGTAGCTGGTTCATTCCCAGACTTGATTCAAAAGCGCATCGGGGATTCTCTGGATTTGTTTGTCGCAGCTGGTCAGGTTCCCGTCTTTTCTTCATGAACGTTGCTGGTTAGGAGCCAGCCTCTCATTCGTCCGTCGTGCAAAGTCAGTGAACGTCATGGTTCGTGGACAGACCACTTGTGATGACCCCCTCCTCATCCCAATGATGTCGAAGAGGTACTTGAGGGATTGTGTCTTGTGCGAATTTTGTTGTGAACGGTTTGAGTGGTTGTGCTGCAGTGAGAGGGCGAACGCACTGCCGCCTGCCGCCTCTCCCCTTTCTTTTCTCGACAAGGCATTTTTTTCATTCAAGATCTCGTGCACACCACATGCATGTGTGGTAGCTTAAGGTTTAGTGTGACTTTCGCAGAGTGGATTCGTTGCGTGTGTGTTTGCTGGCTGACCGAGGTGCCAAGCGCCAAGACTGCGGGGGGTTTGCCCACGTATTTCCGCCCCGTTGTCGCACTAGTGTATTCCGGTACGATATTGACACCTCAGTTAGTTGTTTTGCGTTGACATTGCCGGTGTGATGGCTTTGCATGTGCTTGTGCAGAGGTTATCGCTTTCCGTGTGCTTGTGACTGTCTTGAGCGGGCATTATCTGCGAGCGGTACTGCGCACTAGAACCTCTGTCGGAAGGAACTTTATGCCCTAAGGTGGAAGGAACTACGTGCCCTAAGGTGGAGATCCATGTAGTTGGTGTACTTGAAACGGAAGTTATGGATACCGGGACACAAAGTCTTACGGCTCGGCTCTCGGTAACTTTATGAAAGCAAGACGTTGGGGAAACAGCCGTGGCACGCGACAATTTAACTGTGAATGGAAGCTGGATACCACTGCCTCATGTGCTTTTCAATCGATCCTTCCCACCTTCGCCGTTGCACCCCCGATGCATGTTTGATCCGAAACGTGAGGAGCGGGGTGTAATCAGATTAGGCTACGCTTGGGTGTTTAGCGAGGCCAAATATCGACAAATACGAAGCACAGGAGGCGTTCCGTTCCTCATCCGGCCGTACTCTTTGTGGGTCTGGAATCTCGAATCCCTCTTTCACGACGGCGTAACGGTGACCGATAGGAGGACCAGTTAGAACAAGGAAACAAGGATAGTGCCGTGGCATCTCTGTGGCTGAAGGGACGGCCCGTGACAATCGCACAAACAGCGACTGACCTGATTCCCGAGGTTAGAAGGCCAACTCCTTCGAAATCAAGCAACAATTGTCTATCCGGGGGAGCAGGAGGCTTTCGAATTATTTGGACGATACGAAGGAATATTGCAGTATGCCGAAGGGTTATACTGTACACCGCGATGTTGATAACGACAATAGAGGGCGCCCCCGGACATACTTCCATGACCGCCTGTGTGAACACGCACCCATCACGCCAAAGACCGTTGTAAGCCCTTCGTTGTAGTCGAACATTCCCGTGAGCACGAGAACGCCGCCAGGGAATTAGCTTTGTCGATGGCGCAGAAGGAATGGAAGACTTGTGGGTGTCGTGTCAACCTTCTCCGTCTTCGTTCCTCTAACGATCTCCGCTGTCGCTACCCTCGTTAAGCCGCTTGTGTCCATTGTGCCCCCTATACAGCCTCCTAGTCTGCCTCAAGCAGTTGGACGGGTGCTTACTGCTGTCGGTGGGCTTGCCTCGTCGCAATAACGATGGACCAAGCGCACAGGTGCGGTCAGTGTTGAGGTATTCGGAGGTCTTGCTAAGCGTCGTGCCGCGGCAGCCATTCTCCAACTAGCTCAGGAGAACATTCTTCCACCGCCTGGTGGTTCGTACATCCGCCGGAGTCTCTGGCTCGTCTGGTTTGTCGTGGCAGCATTCCCCTCAGGTGTCATGCCATTTCACCCGCCAATATCCTTCTTTTCCAAGGTTTCCGCTCTCAGCTGCAACCGCCGGCGTTGGTTTCACGGAACGGGCGTCTCACTACAGGTGTAACACTTTCGCGTCTGCGGCGTTGAGCAATCACTTATCCACAGCCCGCCTACTGGAACGCGCGAGGGTCGTGTAGACTCCATTCAGCTCGGTACAGTGCTTAATGTTCTCGAAAACATTGGACTGCATCTGTTCCATGCCGAGCCATACGGTACGGGGTAGGCGCGTTGCTCCAGGAGAGGCAGCTGCCTGTTTTTACTTTGGCCCTCTGGTCGTTCACAAATAAATTGAGCTCATCGACAGAGGGAGCATGCACGACTCGCAAAGGCCTAGCCAGTGCTGTAGATGCCGTGCTCACCAAACGCGCCCAGGTGTCCGGACCGGAATCTTCACCGTTGCCGATTATCACGTAACCCTTCATCCGCTAGGAAGAGTCATAGGACATCAACGTTCCTACTCCGCCGCGTCGATGCATTCTCAGAAGTGCCAAGAGCTCCCAGCGCACTCAAAAGCTCGCGCATGGTGACGTTGCCACATTGCCACGGCGATGTTGACGGACGGATGCGTTCGCGAAGGGGCGGTTATGCCGGCCCGTGGTTCCAACCGTTGCGCTTCAGGATCCTTTCGATGCCGTCCACGTGAAATAATCCAACGAGGGCTACCGTGATGGGCTTCCCTTTTAGGGTCATGAGGTTTCTCGCCATCACCTGAAGGAAAAATCGAGGAGGAAACACGCCAGCAGCGCATGGCCTCAGAAAACCTGCTGCGCCAACGTTGCCCTCAATAGCGGCGAACAACATGGTGTGCTGTGAGTAAAGACGGCAGGAGAGAAAAATGGGAAGGTGGCTGAACATCGGCCCCTGTGTATCACGGAACAGGTCACGCTCAGTTGATCACAACCGAAGACGTCCAGCAACATACTTCGAGATGACGCAATATACATTGGAGTACATTATCCACAATCGAAATCATGTGAAAGGAGATGCTTCGAAAGCAACAACCGTAGAAAGTAAGAACGGCGACAGCAGTATCAGCAAACGGAACCAAAATACAACACGAAATTGGCGAGGTGTGCATGTCCCCGACCAGAAGACGGCGCAATACCTCATCTCGCTCAGGGACCATAGCCTCAAGGGCCCGTTGGTTGGACAGACGTTTCATAGCAGCGTAGTGTTCTCCCGCAGCCTCACGCGTGTCCGGCTTCTGTAGAAATGCGCATCGAATCGAAGGCAATTTGTCCGAACACGGAACAAAGGTACCATAACATGCTCATGTTCAAGTATCCGCGGAACGCTGGAAACCAACATACGCAGGTGACCACCGACGTTCGGCATGTGCAACGATAACAAGTACATTTGGGATACTCTCGCAGCCACATTCGTTCCACATGGTACACCTCAATCATAGATGGTTCGGAACACTCACAACCGCTCACAGTCAGATCAACACAATATTCCAACACCCGTGACGGTACGTAGCTCTGTCCCTGCTGAATCGTCCATATTATTGATTGAACATGAGTGACTTCAAGCGGGGTCATGCAACCAACGTGCCCACGCGTCCTGCCACATCCAAATCTAAACGAAAAACAGCGAAACAGATGCGAATGGAACAACATGTGTAGGCGCCAAAAACCACTAGGAGTGGTGGACTTGATTTCATACCCTTAAATCCAGGCCTGCGAACGTCTTCCTGTTCGACACGGACATGGAGTCGTTCAACAAGGCTTCCGGATCATCCAGCCGTTCGTCGCCTACTGTGTCCGCAAGCCCCGCTGCCACTAGCCGGCGCTTAGTCTCCTGCCGGTCCAAAAAATAAATCATCCCATTGCATCAAGTGTAGAGTTGTGAAAGTCAACCGTTGGCTGGGCAAAGAAAAACTGTGAATTCTCAGAGAATCGAACATCTATTTCAGTCGACGGCGACACTCGGTGTTGCACAGATGCGGGTTGGGATCAACATTTCAACAACGCGGTCGACATAAATTAAAAACGCAGAAAACGAGTAAGCGTGCACTTGGTTTCGTTGCGTTGAGCTAAACTCTTTCACCTAAGCCCGTCTCCTACGTATAATGCAGTCGTGCTAAGACAACGAATTACTACTGTTTGATCAACCAAAAGGATTTTAATCATTGTCCACCAAGGTAGGTTGGAGAGCTGGTACCTGGTCTCATACCGTACGACATGAGGACATTCACCTCGAAATCCCTGTCCCCAAGAAGAACCCGAGCACCGCAGGCTTGAGCCTCAAGCACTGCAACTTCCATTTCGCTGACTTCTTCCTCCTCTGCACACCGCACATCGGACGCCGCGGGGGGCGGGGGGACGGGTTGGTGTGCGGGCTGAGACAAGAGTTGAACAAAAAAGGGGTTGAACAGAACGACATATAGTCCCGCTGCTTCGGGTTTTGGTGCAACGTATGTGTGTTCGTGCCAGTTATTCTCGGTAAATTTTGACACCTCTCGGTGTACGTGTTCGACGTCACAGCTCGGGTCACACAGGAGGAAGGTCAAGCTGGAGCCTATTCTTCTAACACACGAAGATATAGTGATTGCCCCACCTTTCCCCTTGCCGTCCCTGCCTTAGTTTCGATCGAGAGCAGGGTTCAGCCGCCCCTTTCCCGCGCAAACCGTGCAACCGGAGTGTGTTTACTTACGAAATAATCAGTTTTCGACCGCAAGTTTTCCAGCGAGAGAAATCGAACCCACCGCCTGCTACTAGCAGGTTAGCGAGATTATCCACTAGGAAAATACGAAACACAATGTCGTAAATATATATTCCGCGCTGTTTCACAGCATCACGTTTGACGTAAGGAAGCTTCGACGTCTTATATGGCAGCCTCCTCCACCATATTACATCGCCCTTCTCTTCGCATGTTGTGCTTGCCGTACACTTTTCAGAACTTGTGAAACTCCGGCAGTCGACCTCCACGGATAGAAGCTTGGCGTCGTATTTACGTCCTCCGCCGAAGACAAGAAAATTCGTTGCATAAAGAACATCCCAACAAAAAGGTAAGAGCAAACACAAAGGGCACAGACCGAGATAAAATCTCACCAAAAACGTCGATGATGGCCTTCATGGCCCCCACGAACGACTTCACCCTCGAGCTGGACATGAACGCAAACGGCCCTTTCCACTTCTCACCGCGAGGCAAGTCAACGTCGTCACCACCGCCCCGCGAGGTGACGCCTTGAGCAACGGCGTTGTCCTGACACACGAAACGAGCTTCAACAACACAGTGCTCGGGTTCGACAGAGAGATGATTCCCACATCATCTTGAAAGTACATCCGCGTCGCCAAGAGTCGAGCCCAAACCCTGCATGCTATCGTTGGCTGACGATCGACTCTCTAACCTACTCTCACGCAAATGAAGACGAAACAAACGACTGAATAAAAAAAACGAGACCGATCGTCCGCGTCATGCCCGGATTGGAAGGAGCTTACCGGTTGTTTCTGCGGCATAAACCAGGTCAGCCCGTCCTCAGCCTGCCGCAATAACACACGATTGCATCGGTGAGGAAAAACAGGCGAAGTGAACAAACATACACGCACACACACACACAACAGAAGGGTGGGCGTTCAAACATGAGATTTCGCGGCACAACACACCTTGCAAAACGCGCGCAATCGATACAGCCCTGCATTCATGATCACGTGCCGAGCTACGCCCTCTAGGTGTAAGACAGGGCCTGTCACTTACTCAAGCCTTGTCAATCGCGTAAAACAGAGTGGGGCTGATCTCAGTTCTTCGATCAAATCGAGATGCATGCAAAGCTGCAAGACATTCGGCCAAATTCGGCGGACGTCCTTTGGGGCCGAGACCACACAGCGAGAGCTAGGCCTACCTTTTGGGCTTCTCCGGGTGGCAAGTCGTCGAGGCGGCTTGAATCAAGTTCTAACATGACGACTTGCGGCCTAGTTGTCCGGACCACGCTCTTCGACAGCTGCACGATCGAGCAAGATGCAGACCACAAAGCCATGTGATACCAAGCTTCTCGTGCAACAGTGGATTCCACTAAATTGGGGTTGTTCCAGCTCACGGAGACAACAAACAAACAAACCAGCAAACACGCTTTCGAAGACGAAACACAAGATATCTGGTCTCGTTCCAGGTGCTGCTATCATTGAGGCACCGCCAGCTCAAATTTGTTACCAAACCCAGGAGGCCAAAGCAACTGGCACTTGTGAAGCCTGTTTTTCTTTCTCAAGAGAATGTAACCTTGGAAGACTTTGCTCCCCGCGAGGTTGTTCGAAAATAATCAAAGCCCTTTGCATGCCAGACAGGCTCTACCCGAGTGACCATGGGGAAGAAAAATCGGGGTTTACTCTTCCCATTTAGGTCATAAAAGCCGCTGCAGGCCACAAAGCATTGGAGGCTGCCGCACCCACACTTGTGTTGCACCGAATCGAAATTTGCAGCAACATCTGTTGTTAACGACCCTGTCAACCTTCCATTCACCTCCACGCTGGTTTCTTGGCCGTGTACGACCCCGACAAGCCAAATCTCTGATCCGGTATCCGGGTTCCGAAGGTACGAAACGCCGTCGTTGGAGGCAAACGCTGGGATTGCCTCGGATGGTGTGTTCGCGGGGACGTGGTGGTTTCCTTCGCGGGATGCTAACCTCATGCCAATCGTGGCCCTCGACGTGGGTGCGCCACCAAAGGCGTGGGACATACCTCTGCAAAAGTTGAAGCAACACCGGCAGCTTTTTGGAGCGATTCTGCTGCAGCTGCTGATGTAGACGCAGCGGGAGACAGATTCGGTGCGGTTCCCCATTGGCAATCGATGCGTAAGGATCAAGAGTACCGTCCAAGGAAGCACACCGTTCGAGCACGGGCAACAAGCTCGTATCGTAACAATAATTGCCTCCACAGCACGAGGAGAAACAGCAGCCGAAGGACGCTGATGAAGAGTGCAGCATACTTTCTTCCTTGAGGAAACGGGAGAGTTCCTCTCTCAAATGCTGTCGTACGAAAGAAACCGAGGAAGTCATGAACAGAGTGAAACAGCGAGCCACAGCGCCCAGTATTTCACATTCCCGCGAATGGCAATGCTCGACTTTTTGCCTTGACAAACACGAAGCACATTGTACCATGCGCAAGACGTGGTCGAGCCTGGTTGCTGGTTCCTTGCGAGAGGGCGGGTACTACCGCGCGTGTCTTACTCAAGCCAGAGTGACGCAGAGAGTGCACCAGGCGTTGGACTGTCAACCGAGATGTCCTGCAATCGGTACTGTTGTCCCCAACGAAGTCGATAATCACGGGAGCCATTTGCTCGCGTGTTCACACGAGGCAACTTGGAGACCCGTTTTGATGATCGATGCGAGCAGCAGTTGCGCAGAGGCACGCGAACAGACACGACTTCACATGTGCAGCACACACCTCTTCACATATGTAGCACCGTACATGTGGCGGTATGCGTGTTTTGCCTGCCTCCCAACGCATACCTACAGTTGTCTACGATCGATCGGTCGGTGCCACGCTTCACAGCGTGAGTGACTATCAACGGCAGCAGTACAGAGGGGGGCCCGGTAGAGTGCAGGTAAAATCCCTGGACACAGACAGCGCCCTCAATAGTGCGGGTCCTGCACTATTGAGGATGGTTCCGCCAAAGTGCAGGTTGGACACACACACACGAAGACCAACACAACAATCAAGAGGGAACCATAGCGTGGAAGAGAGCAAGAGCTTCGAACCAGATGACCTTCACCATAAAAAACAACGCAGGGCCACAGAGAAGAACTGCCGAAAAACAATTGCTGTGCAAATGGTTATGAGAATGATGATGGTGGTGAAAGCAAGGAGAATAATGATGGTGAAGCACTCCAAAACGAACTAGAGTGTCTACAAGCAGACTTGGTAGACGCGTGCAGCTTTATTCTGTTGCTACCGTTTCTGTCATTCATTCGGAGAATAGCTTAAACTCCCCCATGCCCCCTCCTCACGGGGTTCCCGTTAATGGCATTTACAACCTTGTGTTATCAACGGCACTGAGCCTGCGTCTTTTCGTTGGTCAGCCGGTTAGCGCGGTCGATGCTCATAATGAAGACCCCCCCCCACACACGGACAACGGACAAAATCAACACAGAAAGGAGGGTACACGTGCTGCTGCAGACCCGAAGAGCTCTTCGCAGAGGCGCACCATGCCTTGCGCAGACGGTGATCGGGCGATTATTGCAGCGCATTCCTCTAAGCGGGTGCGCCAGGCAGACATCAGGGATTTTCGCGTGGTGCGGGCGGGGGGTCAGCCGTAGAAAGTAGTGGCTGCTTGTTTTCTTGCGGTGCGCTTCCTGTCGTGTTTTATTTTGTTTTTTTACTATTTTTCTTGCAATAACGAAGGAGGGCAACGAGGACTGAGACTAGCTCGGTTAACTACGTATCAACGTACAAGGGTTGGTTCGCGCGACTGCAGTTCAGGGTGTGCAGTACAGAACGAGTGCCGAGGCAGGAAGAACATAACGGTGGAACATGCAAGTAAACTTCCTACAAAATCTCTGTGTGTGTGACAGGGGGGAACCACAACGCGTCGCGAGACAGTCTGCTCACGCTAGGACAGGGCCCAGTACTACTACACTTCGATCCATTTCGTCCCCAGTTCGCCCGGCAAAGCGTGAGCGCCACTCCATGAAGTCAAACATCTCCTCAAAAGTGCAGGACCTGCGCCATTGAGTGCAGGACCTGCACTATTGAGGGATGTTCGAAACCTCAATAGTGCCGAACATGCACTATTGAGGCACTTTTCGGAGTAGTGCAGGTGCCCGCTATAGTGCAGGTAAAATCTCTAGACACACCCCTGCACTATACCGGGCTCCCCTCTGTTCCACCGTGGGACTGCTGTCTTGTGTCTTGTGTCACCTAGCATATATGTGTACAGCAGCTATGGATAGGGGTTAGGAACAGCTTCAAAATGCGCCTCTGCGGAGGGTGCAATACAACAGCCGTGCGTGGGAGTAGCATGGACTCGCGGCGTGCACCCAGCTCACCGGCGCTGGAGTGGCTTGGCTCCAGGCCCTGCAGACCCACCGTGTCCTCCCCCGTTGACGACAGGAACCCGAAAATCAGTAGTACATGTAGCACCTCTGCGGTTGACGCGGGCCAAGATGGGCGTTGGAGGCAACACGAACGAGACTGTCGGCATGGAGCAAAAACCCAGCAGCACCGGCCCGGCTCTAAGCCACATGGTTTCTCTCCGTTACGAGAGGCAGAGAGAGTGCATTCAAGTGTGCGCTGAAGCTGTGCGAAAGGATGCAATCAATCGCGTCTAGCGTAGCGCACACATGAATGCGGCGAGATTAAGGGGCTCCGTGGATGTAAACTCGTCAGGGCGCTGATCCCGCTGTAACATGCAAAGCCGCATCGGCCTGCTGCCTCAGCCTGCTGCTTGCTGGAGTGAGGGATCATGAGGCATCGGCACCGAGCGCTGTTTTTGTACTCCGCCTTGGCATTCTCACCATCCTCTTCATTCGTTCCGCCACGAGGGGTGCGACTACTGCCATCTTCGGCTTCAGCTCCTAATTTTCATAATAAACCGTCATGTCGAGGTGCGATCAGGAGCGCCTGCACGGCTCAGCACGCGAACTCGAGGAGGGTACGCTCGGAGCGACCACCCGAGTTTCTGTCCGACGACGACGTGTTTTATTTCCACGATCCAAACACAAGCTCCAAAATTTGGCTCGTGGGGACGACCCACAACACCAAGGCTAGCTCGAAGGTGCGGTCCTGTGCGTTTGTTTCCTGCAGTAGGACATGTTGGGCGCGGTTGTCTTGGCGGTGATCCTTGGCGCTGCTTATTTTTAGAGGTGTGGTGTGCTTGTCGTGTGGGTGGTGTGATCAGATCGGCCGGATTCACCCACGCTTCTTAGGAATAAGCAGCTCCGCGCGTGGTCGTGGTCTTGTCAAGAAACTGACGCCAACCTGTCCCTAACGCTGGCTCTATTTTCATACTTCATCCAATACAACGTGGTGTACACAAAGAGGGCAAAGTTCCCGCCGTTTTCGCTATTTGGCTACGCTATCAGTGCTTGTAGAGGACATCACACGAAGAGGTGTCGTGTGTGCTGGCTCGTTCAGGGTTGCTGTTGTATCTAACATACGGAACGTTGCACCAGTCTCTGAGAACAGCCCGCAGCTGTGCGGGAACCAAACAATTGTCACAGCCGTGCTCGCCACCACGGACCGTCAACCCCTGAACGGCGGGTGGTCAGCAGTGGCTAAAGGCATCAACTACTGCAGTACCCGCAGTTTAGGAGATTTGGGTCAGTGGGGGCGAGTACAAGCAAAACAAGACATTGGGCGTTGCTCTAATTTGCGGATATTGTACTAAAGGCCGCAAGCACGACCCTGGATATCACCACCCAAGAAGCAGATTTAACCCCCTAATTTACCCCCCCCATCGGTGTTTGCCATCGGGATTGGGTTTTCGTCGCTTGGCAACGACGTTGTGAAACAAGCCAATTCACTTGGTGAGCTCGGCAACCAGGTTACCTTTTTTTTGTCACCTCTGTTTTTTTTGGGCGGTAGCCATGATGGTGGTCGAGTGGATCATGTTGTGCGGGGTGGAGAAGCCACACTCCGCGCAAGGGGGATGATCGCACCACGTTGTGTTAAATTGGTCAAGCACCCTCGAGGCAGTTACACAGTGCTTATATCTGTCCCTGGAAGTGAAAGCACCAGAAAATAAATTAAGCCATTCGCAGCTGTCATCCGTACGCAAGGAGTAAGCACAAGGTGCCGAACACCCTTAGCAGGATGCAGCGCACCCTTCATGCGACTCGCCGAATATCTCACGGCGCTTCGCGCTTGGTGATGTGAGAGCCTGGTCCGGTGAGAACCCGGCGTGCTCCNCCCCCCCCCCCCCCCCCCCCGTGTGAGTAGGATCCTAGGCTATGCAACCAACTCGTCCCTGAACTTATTATGGTGAAAATGACCTCCAAGGAGGAAGTAGCCTGTACCGCGGGACTTCGGAGATGATAAATTGGGTGGTCGAGGGACGTCTGGGTGTTTTCTAAGCAGAGCGCACGGCACAAGACTGGGGTACTTGTGCCAGGAGGTGTGAAATTGGATTTAGACTACGAGCCTATGTTGGAGGCGCTATGTAGCGTCGGTGAGCCTGCAAAAGATCTGAAAGGAACCACAGCCCCCGCCGGACACTCGGATTGGGAAACCCGAGTATTCCGTATACCTTCCTGAAAAAATACGAAAAACAAGTGGCCACGGTCCAGTTGCCGTAGAGATCATGACGATGGTGAAGAAGCCGGGAGGATGGAAGCAGAAACTGTGGAAGGGAGACAAATTGGAGCTGCTGCTGTTAAAGATTTCAAGGGACATGACGAGGATAGAGTTCAAGAACTGTTGTGACAGGGAGGGACTGCACTGCCTAGCAAGGGGACAAGTAGGCAGAGAACATGAACACTTCCGGGTGAAATTGACCAAGGGAGACAGCCAAGAGTGCTTGGGGGTTGATATCGAGAAGCTGTCGAACTACGTAAGGAAGTTTGGATGGAGGGTTTGCATCGCGAACATGATAGAAACAGAGAAGGTATGGAGACAAGAGGCGAGGGCGACGGAGGCGAAGAAAGGACCGAGCGGGGGAGGCGAGCAGGCAAGTCAGAAGAACGCCGAGAAGAAGCGGAAGGCGAACAATAGAGTGCGCAACATCTCAAATAGGGAAAAGCACAAGCTGAGAGTCGGGTCGTCGAACGTGTGCAGGTTCGCATGGAGTGAGCGCAAGCGGTTGGAAATAGTGGACCAAGTAGAACAAAGCGATCTAGATGTAGTGGGGATCCAAGAGACGTGGGAATTGAAGGATGGGGACGTGGTAAGCAAACTAGGGAAATACCGGTGGGTAGGGAAGGCAAGAAAGGGCTTAGACCCGAAGAAAAGGGGGGAGGGGGGAGTCGGATTCCTGGTCAAGGAACACTTGTTTGACGTGGTGGAAGTAGTGGTG